GTCAGGTCAGACGATGAGTCTGCTACTGGTAACATTGTAACCCAGTACAACCTGCCTCATGGACGGGTCGTCGGCGTCTAAACCGGCTCCCCCACCAGTCTAACTGGTGAGGAGGGTGGCATGTACACCCAGCAGGACTAAAAACAAGACCTGTCAAAGGGCGAATGAGCTCATCTGAGCCACCGGCCATCATGCTTCTTTATTCCTTGTATGTATTTTTTGTAGTGTCATTTATATTTTAATTTTTATTGTTGTAATTTTTAAGTTTGATATCTTGGGACGGACTAAGAGCGGCAGCCATGAGGCGCCATCTTAAGCTCGCAGTCTACCATGACTCTGTCATTGTAATTGTTTGTAATTTGAAAGCGCTTAGAGCAGATTTGTATAAGCGCTGTATAAAATAAAATTATTATTATTATTATTATTAACCCTAATTTGCTTTTTTGCTATTTGCTAAGTATCGCCGATACCTTACACCTACAATCGTTGCCAAAATACCTTGGACCGTACAATTATTTGTCTCCAGCGTAACATTTTTCTGCTTAATTTTTCACAGTTTTCCCCCTTAGCCGTCTTTCATCAATATTGGGTCTTGTTTTGGATGCTTGTGTACTATGGTAACATGCTCAATGACAACATTGCATATAGGGGGTCAGGGGGGATGAAATTATCTGCGGATGTTGCTTAAAATGAGGAAATTTGCTGGAATGATCCAAGCTTTTTTTCAACGATTGTAGTCTGTATGTTTTGTTTACTGAACGATTGTCCATTGATTGTTATGGTTTATAAATTTGTTTATCCCGAATAGTTACAAGAGAAAAAAAAATATTTTTATTCCTTGCTTTAAACCGTTGCTAAGCAACTTTTTAATTTTTTATTTTTTTGCTTAATCATGTATATACCGAGAAAAACAAAAAACAAAAACAGATCTTGCATTGGCTTAGAACATGACTAAGTAGTATTGTTCTGCATATTTCGTTTTGTTCATCACTGTAAAAATTAGCTTTTAGAAGTGTTAAAAAATATTGCTGATTTTGTCAACAGGCCATTTTTGCAGCAAAGCATGATGGTTATATGTAGTCGTCGTACAATAAAAAATAAATAAAATAAAATAAACGACTTGCGTCTGGCTTTCTAGTTTCTTTCCTTGGTGAGATCAGGAAAAAAGTCATAAAAATGTTTTTTGCTCGGCAGGATGAGCAATGCATCTTGGGATACACCACAATTTGTCACGCATGCGCATATGTTACAAAATAAAGATGGCGGCCGACTGTAATGATATATAGAGGATATTACATGGGCGCGCGGAGATACGGATTTTATCTTCGAGTGTTGAAAAGATCTCTCACGAGTGAGCGTAGCGAACGAGTGAGAGATTTTCAACACGAGAAGATAAAATTCGTATCTCCAAGCGACCATGTAATATTCTGTTTATCATATAATT